ACTCATCCCCCCCCCCAACCGCCCCATCTTCTCGTCTCCCCTGGCAATTCCCCCAAGTACCTTGGTCTAAAGGTGGGCAAAATCCGGATAATCTATAATAAGAATAACCGGACAATTCTCAATGAAACCTTATCCGAATTCAGACTCTTATACTTTCTTCCCTGACCCGTTTGCCGAAGTGGGTGCACCCATTTGTTGAAGTAGTGCTGACTCGTTTGCCGAAGCGGTGCGCTAACATATTATCCGGATTTTGCTAAAACGACTCATTGCCCAACCCTACCTTGGTCCCCATAGCCCCCTTGTCCAGAGTCTTGAAGTAGCGGTGGTAGTAGCCAGTGTTGACCAGGGTGTGGTTGTTGAAGCGGACGTCCTCCATCACCATGTCGAAGCTGTTGTCATGGAGATCGGCTGGGTAGTTGTCTGCCCCTGGAATCTGCATCATCAGGTTGTCCAGCAGGCTTCGACCATGGCCGTAGCTGTGGTAGACATGTGAAAAAATAATATGAGAGGCATCGCGGTGAAATCAGGGGCTCTTACGTCAAAATAAGGAGTTTTTAAAGAAAGTGGCATTTTCGTGGCATTTTCGTGCCGTTTTGCCAATTTTTAACAAAGTTTTGATTCGTTATCATTCATTTTTTTTTTACAATATGAATTTTATAATTGTTATGGTTCATCTGTGTATGTACTTTACTATGATGAAAAATGTGGTCATAGCTGTGATGGAGACGTATTATGTCTTTATAATTTTTGTTGGTTGTTTATAAAATTTATGCATGTTCTGAACTCTATGGTTTTGCTGTATATCATAGCTATGATTGAGACATGTCTTTTTGACTTATGTTAGTAGTCTTATTTATATATCATGTGCTGAACTCCATCACTTAGCTATGTCGTATCTGTGATGTAGACGTAGGTCTTTATGATTTATTACGCTTGTTGTTACGTATTTATGTATGTTCAGAACTCTGTGATTTAGCTGTACGTCGCATCTGTGATGGAGAAGTATATCGATATCTTTATGGCTTATGTTGGTTGTTTATTTATATGTTATGTGCTCACTCTATGACTTAGCTGTTTACTATAAACTGTGACGGAGATTTATGTCTTTATGACTTATGTTAGTTGTGTATTTATAATATTATGTGCTGAACTCTATTACTTTATTGTTTATTATAACTGTGATGAAGACGTATGTCTTTATAATATGTGAGGCAGCGTGGTGGAATCAGGCTCTCTTCAAAATAGTCAAAGTGAAGAAACTTGAATTTTTTCAGGTTTGTGAATTTTTATCAAATTTTTGTTGTTTGGCTCAACACCTTTCATGCCCTTTAAAGAACTCATTTTTGTGTGGATTTTTCTGGAAAACGTTGATTAAAAGCACAACAAATGTAAATGTTCAGTTACCACGGACTATTAAGCTAAGGAAATAACTAATCTTTGGCGGCTATTTTCTCACTAATTTTACCTCTAAAAACAGGTGACCCCTGTTCCTTCGTTCACAAATATTTCTACTTGTATTCAAGATAAATAGATTATTTTTTTCAATCTAATAAAGACAAGTGAACAAGCTTTAAGATGATACCAATAACTCTACAAGCCAAAAATTTGACGAGAGCCTGATTCCACCACGCTGCCTCACAATTTATTTAGGTTGTTTATTTATGTACGTTCTGAACTCTATGACCTAGCTGTCGCAACTATAATGGAGATAATTCACCACTTCAGAATTAGAACTTCATCTTCTAACGGATGTGGCGAAGCTTTATTCCTCGGTAGTCGTAAATCGGTAATAGCTTTTGCAGCTCAGATGGCAAAGTAACCAACAAACTAAGACGGACCAGCCTTATTGTCTCAGGCACTGTTCCAAATTGGTCGCTTTTAAGGACAAGCGGGCTAACCCAGATTTCGGGGGTTTCCAGAGATCTTGACCTATACCGAAAGTGAACATTGCCCTACCTATGGGATAAGTTTCCTTTCACTGGTGTGTATATTTGTTTGGTTATAGAGAAAACTCTCCTTGTCTTTTAAAGAAACTTAACAAGGAACAAAAACTGTACCTTCGATTTTCTTAAAATAGCATTTTTCGGGATAGCCCCCTTGTGCTTAAAAGCGACCAATTTACGTACAGTATTACCCTCAAGGAAGCGAGGCAGGGGTAGGCCAAGAACAACATATTTAGGGAACCTAAACAAATGGGTAACAGGGAAAGATCAGGGAAACGTAGCTTTTTTTAGAGCATCTGAGCAAAGGAATGAATGGAGAACCATGATCGGCGATGACTGTCGCAGATCTGGCACTGGATGATGATAATTACCCTCAATCTTTACTTACTGGTCTACATCCTCGGCGTTGACGTGGTATCTCTGGGCTCTGGAAACCTCCACTTTGTCCATGCCGACTCTGTTGGGGAAGCGGTACAGGAGGTCGTCCTCAGGCTTGAACACACTCACAGGGAGGTCGTCCCTGATTTGTCGGAAGGGTAGAAAAAAGTGCACTGTATTAATA